CTCTCTCAAGGAAGGGTTACAACACCCACTCCAAGCAAAGCCCCCCCGGCGCTGTGGGGCACGCGTGGCCTGTCCCAGGCACAGCCACCCCGCAGCTCCCAGGCCGGGCCGCGGCTGGGGACTCCTCTCCCTCGTCAGCCGAGTCTCTTCTGGGCTAGATATGGGAAGGAGCGAGTGAGTGGAGCCGTGCCGGTATCCGTATGTCTGTCTGGCTCGTGTGTGCCTGGAGAGGCGGACGGGGAACTGAGAGCGCTGGACCCCGGGGAGGTTCTGTGTGCTCGGAGGGCCAGGGCTTCGTCTGCCCTGGTGCCCCGGGCAGGGCTGTACCCGCAGGAGGAGCTGGGGCAGCGTTTGTAGAGAAGGAAAAGAAGCGTTTGCAGGTGCGGCGTGCTGGAGCCCAAACCGGGTGGCCTGGAAGGGAGGCTTTTGGAAGCCGGGCACCACAAGCCCCGTGCTGAGCCCCTGCCTCCCTCCCGGCAGACAGCATGGGGTGACCGAGCCTGGAGGAGCTTAACGGGCTGAGTTCCCTCCTGCAGAAAACGCTTTTGCACATTGAAAATGATTTTATTTGAGGTTGGCGATGAGCAGTGATCGTTAACTGCGCTTCCCAGGCTGCCCCCGGCTGCGGGGCTGCAAGGCGGTGCTGCGCAGCAGCTGGCGCTTTGGCCGGGGATCCTGCCCCACGCATTGTTTCGCCTTTTTCCTCCCTTTGCTCCAATCTGAGAGCGATTTCCTGCGCCGTGGGGTGCGCAGGGCTGGGTGCATCCTCGCCTTGTTTTCCTGCTGCCATTTAGAGTCCGCTCAGCACGGCAGCGTTTGTGTCAAATGAGATCCTAACGCTCCTCCATCCTCAGGGCGAGCCCTCCTCCGCGAGTTCGGCTGCCTCGGCCGTCGCGACGACTCGACGGGAGAGGAGAGGAGGCAACAGATGCTCCCTGCGACTCTGCCCGACCCCAGCCATGGCATCCTTACAGGTGAGCGCTTCCCGGGGGCCTCTCTGGCCGTGGCCTGCGTGCGCGGTGTCCCTGGTGCTTTGGGATGTGCCGGGGGCAGCGTGTGCCCTCCTTGGGGAGCTGCGCCGCGGCGCGTTGGGCACGCAGAGCCATGCGCCGCGTGGCACCGTTCCTCGGCTCTGGGTGCAGGCGTGTCGCACGGTGGCACTGAAGGTGGCTGTGCTCGTGTGGCAGAGCCGCCTCTCTCCGCTCTGGCTGCCGGCGAGCACCGGGATGTGCCGTGGTGAGGGAAGGAGCCGGAGGTGCCGGAGCTGCCCGTGTTGCCTCCCCGCGAGAGCTAAGGAGCTTACACCAGGGAGTAAAGAGCTAATAGGTCCCCTGCGGGGCTTGAGCCAAAGTCCATTAAGCCTACGTGTGGCTCCCCATTAACCGCAATAGGCTTTTGCGTGCAGGTGCTCGCCAGGCTTTACACGCGCTCTAATGCCGCACGGGGATTATGCCAAAGCCTTGCCCTCCTTGCTCCTGTTAACTAGTAACGCGAAGGGGAATTTGCGAGTTGAACGGTTGAGAAATGCGGAGAGCACCCGCAGAGCACGCTGCCCCAGCGCCCCGAAGGACCCGC